CTGGGGGGGAAGAACCAGCAACATACCTACAGGCTGGGGAACTCCCAGAAAAGGATCTTGGAGTCATTATTGACTGCAAGATGAACATGGGCCGCCAGTGTGAGGACACAGTCAGTAAGGCTAACTGCATCTTGTCATGCATCCACAGATGCATCACAAGCAGGTCCAAGGAGGTGATCCTCCCCCTCTATGCGACACTGGTCAGGCCACAGTTGGAGTACTGCATCCAGTTTTGGGCGCCCCACTTCTGGAGGGATGTGGATAGCATCAAGAGGGTCCAGAGGAGGACCACCTGCATGGTCAGGGGGCAGCAGGGTAGGCCCTATGAAGAGAGGCTAAGGGACCTGAACCTGTTCAGCCTCCAAAAGAGAAGGCTGAGAGGGGATCTGGTGGCCATCCATAAACTTACCAAGGGGGATCAGCGGGGAATGGGAGAGTCCCTGTTCCCCCGGACACTACCAGGAGTAACTAGGAACAATGGCCACAAGTTGACTGAGAGTAGATTCAGGCTGGACATCAAGAGGTGCTACTTCACAGTCAGGGAGGCTAGGAGCTGGAACCAACTTCCAAGGGAAGTGGTGCTCACTCCTAACCTGGGGGTCTTCAAAAGGAGGTTACATAATCACCTAGCTGGGGTCGTTTGACCCCAGTACTCTTTCCTGCCAAGGCAGGGGGTTGGACTTGATGATCTGCTCAGGTCCCTTCCGACCCGACCAACTATGAAACTATGAAAACCTGTCACAGTGTTAGATCCAGAAAGACCCATAAGAATATCTGCTTTGCCCTTCCCTCCCTCTCACTCAGCACAAGGCATCCCTGACACTCTATGGCAAGTTTAAGACTTTTGCCATATGCTCCCTACACCAGAGCATGCTGCAGGAAAAAGGACAGAGAAATCAAGAGACCTGACAGTACCTTCTCATCTGACTTCTGTGCTCAACCTGGTTGAGAAGGGGTCTAGTTCGTGGCTCTCGTGGAGGCCAGTGGGGGTACAGGGAGAGGTGTCCCTCTCCAATTTAGCTGAGCAATTAGAATCTTCATACAGCTCCTAATGACATTGATTCAAAAGGGGAGGGAGGCAAGCTGGTGACAGCCGCTCCCAGCCTCATAGCATGCAAGCTGCCAAATATGCATCCTGCAATTAAGCCAACAGAGAAATCCTTAAGGTGCTGCAGTGGACTCAGAACACTTCACTTCTATTCTCAATTCTGCCCCCAACTCATATGTGTGACCTCAAGCAAGTTACAAAGTGTCCCTGTACTTCTGTAAAATAGGAAAAGCAACTCTTCCTCCCTCAACAGAGACTAAAAGGACCCTCCAGGCATTACGAACTGTTGTCTGGACAGTCTTATGCTGGAATCTACAAATGGCTGTAGTCAACGAGGTGCAGAGCTACGGCAGATTCCTGGAAGGAGGTATGAAAAGAGAGCTGAAACCTGTGAGGTGATCCCTCTCCCTCCATCACCCGCACTAGGTCCTAGACCCAGACTGGAAGAGATGCTGAGGGGATGGTCAGAGATGGGACTGTGGCATTACCCCCCACAGGAGTGC